AAGGTAGGGGAGGGCGGGGGTAAGAGGGAGAGATCAACCAAAGGACTTGTATGCATGCATATAAGCCTAACCAATGGACACAGACACCACGGGGGTGAGAGCATGAGTGGGGGGTGAGGGGCAATGAGGGGGGATAATGACACATATGTAATACCTTAATCAATAAAGAAAAACACTTAAAAAAGAACCCATGTTATAGATATATACATTTATATCTAATGTATACAAATATATATTCACATCTAATATATATATATATATATTAGAATGCGCCAAATGTTACATATGACATTGTTATATGAGAGTTAAAAGAAAGCAAGGGTCCAAACTCTAGAAATTTAAGTAACAATTATTATTTAACCTCAAAAGAACTTTTAGGAATTCATATTAATAACTTTTAACATATAAATTTTCATTTAAAGATAAGCAATTCTTTTCTTTTTATTTCCATCTGTCAAAGTAAATTGAATTTAATACTTTATTTATTTAATTCAAAATAAAATGCATACTATGTATACTATGATCTTGTTCTTATAACATCATATCTGCCTATTCACCCACCTATTTTTCTATCTCTACGCAGGCATGAATATATGACTAGAATAACATTCTATCAAATTTAACACTGATAGTTTTTCTGAATGGAATAATTTCACGGGGTTAGTTCATTTTCTCCTACACATTTTTTTGTAATGTTAAAATTATTTAAGGATGAGTACGTATCAATTTTATTTGATAAACCCATGATATGATTACTGTAAACAAACAAAGAATCAGTGGCAGTATCATGCACTGGCAAGAGAAATGGACATGAAAATACAACACCTGAAGCTGAATAGAGCCCTATACAAATTAGATAGATATCGTGAAATTTTTCTGGACTACAGTTTCCTTACTGTTGACTGAGAAAGTTGAATGTAATGAGCTCAAAGGTTGCTCTCTGTACTAATATTACATGAATTTAAGTGGTTAATTCCTTCATCAATTTTAGGAAATATTTTTTAAAAATAAATGTATCATTTTATTCATCAATTATCTCAAGTATACAAGTTTTAATGAATAATGTTCTGTTTGTTTGCTATATGCTTTATAATTTAATTATATTACAAGCTACAGAGGGTGCTATATCCTTGACATTCTAAAGTACTGAATACCCAGTTTTATTTACATAAAATAATTGAAGAGTTTCCATAATGATAAGTACAGAAAGTCTTTTTGGTAGCACTATATACTGCTTCAAGTGTGAGAGGATATTTTAAATATTGGTATTTAAGGGAAGAAGGAAAGGAAGAAAAGGCTGCATATTATAAAGCTCTCCTCACTCAGAGTCTGTGTTAAAAACAAAATAAAATACTGACACACGTTCTTAAAATTACTAGGAAAATATTTGGATTTGCAGATAAACTAACATGAAAATGACAAAACAACCATAATTTGGGTTTTCATGGGAAATGTTACTTAGTTCCAGATGGTTTCAAAATTGAGTTTGTATATGTGTCTGTATTTTTTTGTCCACTTTCAGAAGCCTCTGTTACCTTGTCTGGGTACCTAACAAATGACTGTTTCTTACATTATGTTAATCTGTCCAAATGACAGCTGCCAGCAGGTATAATTTTCTGTTATTTGAATTTTACATAACTCTACAATAGAATGGTATTTATCCCTGTAAATTCTTTTTAAAAAATATTTTTATTGACTTCAAAGAGGAAGGGAGAGGGAGAAAGAGATAGAAACTTCAATGATGATAGAGAATCATTGATTGGCTGCCTCCTGCAAGCCCCCTACTGGGGATTGAGCCTGCAACCCTGGCATGTGCCCTGACCAGGAATCAAACTGTGACCTCCTGGTTCACAGGTCAATGCTCAGTCACTGAGCTATTATAACTGGTTGGGCTATCCCCATAAATTCTAATTCAGTGTCTCTGAACTTAATCAACACACAGCCTTTATAATGATGAATTATATTGAATTCATCCTATTTATTTGTGATGATCATATAGTTAGGAATGGCATTGCCATGCTGAGATGCTAATGTGATTTTGCCAATATAAGAGATGATACTAAATATATTTTGCTGAAAATTAAATGTTCTAGATACTGTATGACATTTACATATTATCATACCAAGAGTTTAAACAAATACTGAAATGCAGCTTTCACTTAAAATCAACTTACCTTTGCAATTATTACGGACTGAACTGGGTAACAAACAGTTGCTCCTAAAGTGGCCAATCCCAATGGATAAGCAATTTTCTTAAATCTAGAACCTAAGAAATTCAAACAATTAAACTCCTAATGGATGCTACCAGAAACCTGATGCTTTTATAATCTCAATATTCTCTTTGTTCCCATTAAGCCATCACCCTATGTTAAATTACACATTAGGTAATAATACCAATCAAGATTTTCTTAAGGATCACAGTTCAATTAATATACTTTAGTTTTCACATCCAATTTAATAAGGTATTCTCAATCTAACATGATAATTACCTATACAAAGGGGATTGATGATTTATTCTTTTTTAAACTAGGTATTTTTTTCATGTCCTAAGCCATGTTAAAGTGAAATGGACTTTCTTTATATATCCTTTTATGATTAAGTGTTTAAGAAGGTGAAAGATCCAATTAACTAATCAGCTAAGGACTTTAAAAAATACGTAACTCCTTCTTGTCATTAACTTAGGATAGTGAAGTGACAGTTTAATAATTGCAAGTAACTTGAGATAATCAATTCATTTCTAAAAGTGTCTTATCTAAGCACCTAAGGGTCATTTTCAAACCATATTGTACAGCAAAATCCTTTTTAAAACAAATCTTAGAGACAGACTGTCAGTAGCAACTTCATATATAAAACCTATAAACTTGAAACCACTCTGATTAGCCCACAGGAGGGAAGCCCAGTGTTGAGCCCCACCTGCATAGCTTTTCCCTACCCTATTCCTCATACCATCCCTAAACTTCCATTGAACCTGGGGTTCTGTAGAACAGGTTCTGTAGAACATCACTCTAAGCCATAGCTTGATTCCAACAGACCATTGTTGCAAAACAATATGTATCTTTAAATGCTTGTCTGGGTACCTTCGAATCTTTAAATATGATCTGGGTAGTTAGATGATGGGATTTGTAATTGGGGGTAAGTATTTTCATTCTCTGGAACAACTCTTACATCCCTTAATTTAAAATGAAACAGCCTATCTGATATATCAGGAAAGACCAAGGTGAAAAGTATCTGACAGTGTTTGCAGGCAACTTTACAGTTTAGGGAAAGTGAAAAGAAGTTTAAGGACTGGGAAAACCAAACATAAAGTTATCTGATAACAGATTCCAGACTGGTTCAGAGCTGTGACTTCCAACCCCATGTAATTTAGTTAGGGGACAACGACTGACAGCTCAGCTGTGGAGAGAGGATGAATGAAAGGTGACCAAAATGACTACTGATGCTTAGTAAGGGCTTGACTATGGAGAGGAAGCAGTAATGCCTGCTGAGAGGGTTACTATAACCAGAAATGGAAAATGGGAAAATACAAAATTCACCACATGCTTATGAAGAAAGTGATTTAAAGATGGAAAAAAAGTCAACAGAGTATGTCTAAGACTGCCATTGTTAGAAAGGCCTGCTTGCCAGGCTGGCTCTTGGCTGGCATCTGGGCACTTGCTTGGTAAGCAGTTCCTTACAATGACAGTAAACATTCCCTGATTGATAAGATGGTACACTGTAGCCAAATTGTTTGTATAAGTAATGTGGTTTATGATGAACAACTACTTTCCTTCCGGGAGTCTAGAATTTGCGAAGATGTTAGACAGACAATACATGACCAGCCCCAATAATAACCTTGGTCACTCAGTCTCTAAAGAGCTTTCCTGGTTGGTATCTGACATAATGTCACAAGTCATTAGTGGAGGATTTAAGTGCACCTTATATGGCTCCACTATGAGAGGACTCTTGGAAGCTTATGCCTGGTTTCCTCTAAGCCGTGCCTCATGTGCCTTTTCCCTTTGCTGATTTGCTATGCATCCTTTCACTGTAATAAATCCTAGCCATGAATATGACTGCAGGCTGAGTCCTCTCAGTCTTCCTAGCTAATGGGAAAACCTGGGGATGGTCTTAGGGACTCTCTACACAAGCAGAACAGTGGGACGGAAGGACAAATTTGGTAGAGATACAGAGTGCAAGAAGGGGGTAAGGAAAGAAAATATATCAAGTCTCATGTGCTAAAGCAGTGGTTCTCAACCTTGGCTGCACATTAGAATCACCTGGGAATCTTTTTAAAATCCTGATTTCTGTGCCTCATCCTCTGGAAATTCTGTTTCTTTGTTACGAATGTTGTGGCCTCACCCCATAACAAAGAAACAGAATTTCCAAAGTGGTGAGTCAGTTGCCTACTTTCCAAACTCCATTTTGAGATGGTTGATGTCAGTTCCAGGACTCTCAGGATCAGGAGGGAATACATTTTTCTCTCCTACGTACGTCAGTATCTCTGTCTCAAATCCTTAATATAGCCTCCAGAAAATTGGTTGTCATGACTAAGCAAGGAAAAGTAGTTTGAGTGGTTAGTTTTACATTACTGTAAAATTCTCAAGATCTTTTTCTTTTTGATAGCTAGAGATTCTTAAGACCTTTTAAAAATAGTTATCTACAAGATGGGAAACGATACATTACAATATAAATAGGAATAGCTGTATTTTTTAAAATATTATTTGTAAATGATCTTACTAGAAATTCACCTTTTTTTTGGTGTACAGTTCTATCCATTTTAATATATGGAATTATGTAACCACCATCATAATCACAATATGGAACAACTCTATTGCTCCTAAAAACATCTCATGCTATCCCTTTGTATTGACACCTTCTCCCTATTCCTAACCCCTAGAAACCACAGACATGCTCTTTAGCACAGTAGTTTTGTCTTTTTGAGAAAGTCATATAAATGAAATTATACAATACAGTGGGGCCTTGACTTACGAGTTTAATTCATTCCGAGACTGAGCTCGTTAAAGAGCTCATTAACTCAAATTACTCTATCAACTCAATGCAAAAAATCCGCCGAGAGACAGCTGGTATCTCAAAAAACTCATTAGTCGGGACACTCGTAAGTCAAGGCCCCACTGTATTAAACTTTTGGGGAGTGGCTTCTTTAATTCAGATTCATCAAGATTGTTGCATGTATCAATGGTTCATCCTTTGTTGCCCAGGTAGTATTCCTTTGTTTGATGTTCCACAGTTTAGTTAATTGCTGAAAGACATTTAGACTGTTTCCAAATTTTGGTGATTATGAATAGAATTGTTATTAACATTTGTGTTCATGTTTTTCATTTCTCTAGGGTAAATCCCCAAGAGTGGGATTACTGGGTCTCTTGGTGAGCATATCTTTAACTTTATGACAAACTATTTTCAGAATGACTGTACCATTTTATATTCCCACCAATAGTGTCTGAGAGTTTCAGTGGCTCTACATTCTCAAATCTACTTGGTATGGTTAGTCTTTTTAATTTAATTTAATTATATTTTTTGTGTGGGGGATGGAGGGCCAGAGGAGTGTGGGGGCAGGGAGAGGAGAAAGGGAAAGGCAGAAGGCAGGGGCGTGCTCCAGGGAGGGAGAGCCTTTTTAATTTTAGACATTCTAATAGGTGTGTAGTGGTATCTCATGTGGTTTTCATTTGCATTTCTAATAACTAATGATGTTGAACATTTCTGGAAATATGTATATTCTTAAAAACCCAAAAAGGTTTTAATAAAAGTAATCATGCTGTACTGTAGAATCTGAATGTTTTAAGGTAGCCTATCCTAATAATATTCAATAAAATATATGAGGTTTTCCTGTGACAATAAAATTCAGAAATTAATATACTGTAATTGAAAAAGAGAATATATATATATTTTTTAAACCCTACCTTTTCTTGCTGAAACCAAGCCTGCTAATCCTGAAACTGTAATCACTCCAATTTTCGGAAGAAAATCTCGTGGTGGATCCTTCAGATAAACATATGCATCTCAAGAAATCAGTGAAAAATTAATATAAATGACTTATACAACTGGGCATTCTACATAGGTATAATGCAGAACAGTTAGAGATAATAGCAAATGATTTAAACACTCTTCAAAAGAACTATACAAAATAATGATTTAAGCAGTGACTTAAAAGCTAGTTATAATAGTTACTTGTTACAAAATTAAATCTTCCTTCCAAAGCTGATTTCATATTTGTTTTCTTAACAATACAGGTTATTATTCTTCAATGAAATATGATGCTACAGTCACTACCTTAATATGGATTATTATAAAGTAAATTCTTGATTGTGTAAGTACTCTCTACATATAATAGAAATTATTCTGACCTTATCTACTCAAACATTGGTAGGATCCAGTAAGCACTGAAATACTTTCTTAGAGAACTTTAAATAATAGTTTAGGGATACATGTAAGCATTAAATCCTGCATGCCACTACTCCCAGTAACCTCAGAGCCGATGTTGATATTGGTTAAAATCAAGATGATCAGGCCCTGGTCGATTATCTCAGTGGTTAGAGCTTTAGCCCTTGGATTGAAAGATCAAGGGTTCAATTTCTGGTTAAAGGAGGCAACCAATTGATGTGTGTCTCACATCAATGCTTTTCTCTCTCTCTCTCTGCCCCCCTCCCTCCCTTCCATTCTCTCTGGAAATCAATGGAAAAAATATCTTCAGGTGAGGATAAAAAAAAATGATCAGGATGAGAAGTGAGCCTAGATAAAAAGTAGATGGAAAGTGTGCAGAAGACTAGATTTCTTGGCTTTTTATACATTTTATTTTTAAAAAATATATATTTTATTGATTTTTTTACAGGGAGGAATGGAGAGAGATAGAGAGTTAGAAACATCGATGAGAGAGAAACATCGATCAGCTGCCTCCTGCACACCCCCTACTGGGGATGTGCCCACAACCAAGGTTGATGCCCTTGACCAGAATCGAACCTGGGACCCTTCGGTCCGCAGGCTGACGCTCTATCCACTGAGCCAAACTGGCTAGGGCGCTTGGCTTTTTATAGATTTTAATTGTATTGGTTCTATGCAGTCCAAAGCCACACTCTTCTATCATTGTTAATTATTTAATGGCAATCAGTTATTTAACGATATTTCTCAAGATTAATGAGAATATAATTTGGAATTAATTCCCACAACATATATAAAATAATGATAATATATATACTGGTCATCAATATCAATATCATAGAGACTTTTAAAATTTTACCCTGATCTTTGTGTCCTCTATACATTTATTTTGACAACTGGCTTAGGTAAAAAAAATTAAGAACTTATATCTGATGCCAAACACCATTATCAAACTAAAGACTCAAACACATTAGCTCAAATATTCTAGGGTGTGACTGATTGGTATAGTGTTTCCTAATAATCAATAGCAAAATACTATGTATTTTAACTGCAAGTAGCACTTATTAAAAGTAACTAATAACAATGGAGACATGTTTCTAATTTATGCTTTATGAGTATATAATATAAACAGACAGTTTGACAGTTTGAATTCAGATGCTGCCACTTACTAATTATGTGGTCTTGGTAACCTACTTAATCTTTCTAAACCCCAGTTTCCTCATCTGCAAAAGGAGAATATTTAACCCCTTCCCCGGCAGAAACGTGTATACACGTTTTCGCAAAATGTTCTTTTTCAGTCGTTGACGAGTATACTAAGAAAATATGGTTAAAAAATATGGTTTATAGGAAGACGAGTTACAAACTGTTTTCATAACCAGCATCAAAAATACTATATAGCAGGAGGCAGCTGATCGATGTTTCTCTCTCATTGATGTTTCTAACTCCCTATCCCTCTCCCTTCCTCTCTGTAAAAAATCAATAAAATATATTTTAAAAAATAATAATAAAATAAAATACCAAGTCACAAAGTTGCTATAAAAAATTAGATAAATTATGTAAAATGCTTATCATAGTGACTTAGCATATAATAATAGCCAAATAAATTATAGATACTATTGTTTTGGCATTATTATTATAAAGTGCTATGCAGAGTATCTTTACAGTTATTAAAACATAATAATGGATAACATACTATGTTTATTTTTTTCACATTTTAACATTGCAAGTTAAAAAGACAATGGAACATTCCTAATTACAAGTGATTTACTCACCTACCTTTTCCAAATTGAACTGTATCCATTATCCCATTTTTCACAAAGACATACACACCCTAAGCAAAAAGGGGAAAAAAGGATATCTTCATTTTTTAAAATGTTGACAATTAGATCAAACAGTTGACATCACTATTTTATTAAAATGTTGACAGCATTGCAGCCAAATCTAAATCGAACTTTCCTATTTATTCACTATGAGGATATCTGTTGAACTTAGCTCTTCTTGATTTCTTTCTTTTCATTCTATTTAACATGGATAATACTTTACTATTTTCCTCATATTAAATAAGTATCGCCTATAAAATAATCAGAGCAGCTCAGACAAAACTTATTGCAGAAATACAAATATTTGTCATCTGATTTTATAATGGCCTAGAAAATTGAATGGAATTTAAATAAAGCATAAAGAGAGGTATATTTCAGCTTAGAAGCAATATCTGATTAATAAAGATGCAGCAGCAACAACATAAAGCCTAAAGAAAAGTACTTCATCTTCTCCTTTTTTAAAAGTGTGCATTAGAATGAGAAAAAAACCTAATTAAGACATTTATCTCAGGATAGAAATCATCCTACACAGGCTAGCCTCCATCTTGTTTTTAAATAGCAACATAAATTATCTACAAATCTAGATTAATTAACCCATGGAAGGATTAAAGCTTTAAATCAAATTTTTCATTTTACCTGTTTCCAACTAATTTATTTTGATGCAAGAAATATTGTTATACAAATTTATTGAGTGATAGGTACAATCTCAACTACAGCAGAAGAAAAGGAAGGCATGAAATGATTTTTCATAGTAATTCCACATAGACATGCTGTACTCCACTGAAGGAACCAAAAACACAATCTAAATGTATGGTCTCCTTCTCTAAAATAGCTGCTTTTAAACCATGGGACAAAAAAACAAGAGAGATTTTCTAAGCAAATAAAATGGAAAACAGTATATTAGATGGGAAAGGAATAAGTTATTGCTATTGAGATATCTTGGTTTTAATAACTTTGCTTCAGATATTTTCATGGTGCTCAGAGATGCACAGGTTTATTCTGTTCACTATGGTTTCAAGCTGTACAAACCAACATATACCCTAACTGCCATCAAACTACTTCTCTTTAGGGACTGCCTCTTAAGAAAAATTTCACCTTCACATTATACTTACTGACCAGGTGAGTGGAAAATCATGTAACTGTTGAAGAAACAAACTAGTAATTTCTTTTAGGAAAGTTTCCATAGCTAGGTTTAGAAATTCACTTTTACCACTGGGATTCGCTGTTATCTAAATTTCAAAATACCATTAAGGAGTAGGAATAGAAATTGAATTTGCCTTACATGATTCAAAGTTTAATGCAGAATGTAATCTGAGTCAGAATTAATTTTTAAAGAACATATTACATTTTTAGAGGAAAATGAGAGAGGAAACATTGTTTACATTGAAGATGCAATGCATTCAAAAGTGACCTTCTTCAACCTAATTGTTTCAGCATATTAACAAATATAAAGTTCTTTCAATCTTTCTTAAATTGGATGATAGTTAAATAGCAATTTAAGTATCTCACTAAACAATTTACCTCACTGAAAAAACAACTTTGAGACAATATGGAAAATTAAGTCTCAGGAGACTAAAGTATGAATCATCTAGTTGCTGGCATGATTCAGAGCCATTAGTTAAGATATTTCACTCTGAGATTAAACTATTAAGAGTGTGCAGTACAGAATTATTTAGAATTATTAGAATTATTTGACAGGAAATTAAAAAAAAATAACACAATATATTCACTGGATGTTTTAAATATCATCTAGAATAGCCAGAGTTCACAGATTTGGTATTTCAATCAGATCATTAGATTTTTCTTTTAAAAAGAATGGATTAGAAACAAAAAGGCACAAAGTTAACAATTGGCTAAATTTGAAGTAAATTAGTATAGCTATTAGGTCAGAATGATGAAAATAATGGTACCAGCATTATAATTATGACACTGACATTTGAGACATTGATGCTACACACTTATGTTCACCCAATGATAAAGCAACATCAGTACTGCATTAGCTTACTCCACTGCTGCTGAGTACTGCTGACTGAAGGCTAAGTATCAAAATAAGGTGAATTATATTTTGCCTCATAGCTCATTGTAGTCAAATTGATCTTATGAGCTAAACAAAACAAGTGAAAATTTTGCTTAGTCAAATAAGAAGCAATTAAAAAGTAATCTCAGAACTTCATGTAACAGGCCAAACAATGTTTTATACATGGTAGGTGACATACTAGGAAATGCTTGTTGAACTACTTTAATCTATGAAGTAGTGGTATGGTAGAATAAATATGGCCACAAATTATTTGCTGCTACTTGAGGGGTGGCATTTTTTCCTCTCCCTCAAAAAATTAGATTGGCCTTAGTAACACTAGAATGCTGTAGAGGAGACTTTCGTAAACATCTGAGGATAGGTAAGAAACTTGGCAAATTCTACCTAGGGCCTCTTGTAACATTTTCTGTAGGAGCCCTGAATTGCCCATATAAGTTATCTGGCCACCTTGCCTGAGAGGCCATGTGTAGGTGCTTTAGTCAACATTCCCAACTGAGCCCAGTGCTCTAGCATCTGGGTCAAGTTGCCAGACATGAGAATGAAGCTGTTTTGGACCTCTAGATCAGGCCATTCACCTGATGAATCCCACTGAGTGACCTCTGTGAACACCAGAAGAACACTTGTCTGAACTCCAATCCAATTCCTGATTTATAAAATAATGAAATATAATAGAATGGTTGTTGTTTTAAACCACTAAGCTTGGGGGTAGTTTGTTACACATCAATGGGTAACTGGAACAACTGGTATGCAATAGAAATAAGAAATAAGAAATCCTCTAATATTGAACAACTATTAGAATAGACTTACCTTGCACCAGCCAATATAACGACCAGTTGTAGTGCGGATGGAGGCAAAGCCCATTTGTAAATTACCAGGCTGCTCTTCAACATATTTAGATTGAAGAGGTGGTGAAGCATATATAGGGAGCTAGAGGCAAAAATAAATAAACAAACAAACTCCATGTCAAAAATATAAAAAATCTGAAATTACTTTTCCAACAGTATGGCAGAAGAAGAATCTTCAC